AGCACCAGATGGGCAGAATGCTGACATTGTTGGCATATTCTGTCCCAGGCACCCACTTTTAGGTAAACACATTCAAACCCAGCAAACTGTGGGTCAGGACATCAGGTGAGGGGCATATAATCTCAATAGACTATGGCAACACCTCCTTCTCCCCCCACTCCCAGGTCTGGCCTGCTGGTGCAGAGAATCCATGTGGGTTGAGCTGAGATACACTAATTCCCACCGCTTCATCCAACTTTGTAGAGCTACAAAGCCACAAAACTGGTAGGGGAGGAGGAGCTGGCTCTCTAGTGCTGTGCTAGCAATGGCACACACCTCCTGAATGTGTACATCGGGCCTGCATCTAGGCAATATCAGTGCAAAGGCAAGATATCAAGGGGAACACCTAATCTGGTGAATAATTGGATGCTGTCTGAAGTAGTAGACTAATAAATCAAGCTAATCTGACTGGTTTTCATTTTCATTATTGAATTCAAGTAGTGTAATGCTCTGAATAATGTGGATTAGTCGGACTTTGTGTGTGTCTATATGCGTTAAAGGTTTAATGAAAAGCATAACTGAAGGTGAAGGGTGTGTAAAACATCCCTGAGAAACTAAGGCAGTCTTATCAAACTTATTCTGCCTTCTTTCAAAATACCTCACACATTTCCCCAAAAAAGAATCCATGAATTCACCTCCAGATCCTAGGGATCTCCTCAGTCCAGGGGCAGCCTTTGGGAGCTGTGCAGCAGGAGGGACAAATTTGCAGCTTTAAGTCATTCACTGTCTTGTTGCATGACTCCTGAAAGTTGCCCCAGCTTGAATGGGATGCCTAAGGATCCTCAAAACTCAGGAGGGGGGATGGTAGACTCTAGGAAGTTTCTTTATTATTATTGTTTGCCAGGGAACAATATGGCATGGCCACAGTTGATCACTTCCTCCATGTTGTACAGTGTAAAATTGTGCAATAGGATTTTAGCCTTTAGTACTTTGACACAGATAATATCATTTGTAAAAATTGATAACAGTTCCTGACATTTAAAAATTAGAAGAATTGGAAAGGTTATTTGTATCTTTCTATAAACAATGAGCCAATTCTGTACTCTGTGTGCATGTGTGCATGCGCACATGCATATATTTTACTTCAGAAAGGGATGGGATATTAGAGTTGCAAGAGTATGTTCAAATCATAGGAACTTTGATAAGAAAAAACAGTGTTTCTTTCTCACTATTACCTGGCAGCAACAAATTTCACAGGGTTTGTTGAGGTGTCTCATTGTGTTAAAATTGTTTAAATTTTCAACAACATTGTAATTAGCAAGTATTCTTCTCATCCTTATTCAGGGTTATGGAATAACTATTTAATGAAAGGGTAAACTGTATTTTACAGATCTGTGAGTGCAAAAGAATGAGAAGGCCATTTTGGACAGAGGATTGTACCACTGAAAGGAATTCATTTTGTACATAGCACCTTAATTTTCATTAAATTCTCAGTCTTCAAGTTTAATGCCAGTTTATGATGCAAATACATTATAGTGTGTAGTGTAATGCACTCCTGGAAGCAGTGCATTTGTGAAGTCCAAGAACATCTGGAGGCCCAAGGTTGGGGACCAATGGAATGCACTCCTAGAAGCAGTGCATTTCCCCCCTTTGCCCTTAGTGGCCTCTTGCTAGGTGCAATTGTTCATCATATTTCCCTAGCTTAAGATAAATATTTCATTCTTCCTACGGCTACTTATCTCATGGTGTGCTGCTTTAGATGTAAGTCCTATGTAGGTATCATTTCTATGATGGACAGCACCCACACATGCAAATCTTTTTCTTCACTACCCAAATCTCAGTCACACCTTTGTGTGTTCACAGAGGGAGTCTGCAACAGCATTGCTGACTATGTTCTACTGGATGTACAGTACAGTACTTGGAGTGATTTCTTGATAAGGAACTCCAATATGTATCCCAATCACAAGAAATAGTGTCAATGTGTTTTATTGAATGCACTTACAACCTTTGCTGCAGACCTCCATTTTGAACATGTGAATTTCTGTATGATATCTCAGTAGGAGGCAGGAACAGGAATTACTTCTCCACCCCATCACCACCATGTTTCAAGCCTTACAAACTTTCAGGGTGTCATGCCCGAATATAGCAGCTTCTGTTTCTGAAGAACTCTATATAACAAGTTTAAAAAAAGAGGTATTTCTGAAGTCTGGTGGGAATTGGCCCTGAGTCATCAAAATGCAGAGTCCAGAGGCCCATCACATTTATCCTACTGCGATATCAAATAAAAATGGGTGGGTTCTGGTACACAAAAAGGGCTTTGCTGAAGTGCTCAAGACGGAAGCAAAATATGAGGCATATTTGGGTGTTCCTCTTTGAGCCATGCCCTTTTTGGACAGCTGTCAAAATGCTTTCATACATTTCAAATTAGAACCATTTAAAAAACCTGCTGTTTAAATATATTTCTTTTCATTCTTGATCTCTTGCTTCCTTAGAGCAAATACTAATTTCTCACACAATCATAATAAACATTTTGTTGTAATCTGTAAATATATGCCCCCAAAAGCATAGATTGCATCCACGTTCAGCATGATGTGGCAAATAGTAATTAATTAAAATGAAGAACCATTAACCTATCTACCATTCAAGTTGTCTCCTCTATGCTACATTTGCTCCCTGTGTTTTAACACAAAATAAAAAGCTGTGGGCTGTTACTAAAGCTCACCACTTGATGTCAGTGTTAGCTTACTGTAGAAAAGCCAGTAAAAGCCAGCTCTAATCCTGTTAAATCATAGCTCAGACTACAGAGCCTCCTTGTTGACCAGATACAGACAAGGCAGGTGTGTGTGTGTGTGTGTGTGTGTGTGTGAGAGAGAGAGAGACAGACGGACAGACGGACAGACAGACAGAGTGAGACAAAACAAAGGAGATTGTGAGTGATCAAGAGAGACTGAGAACGATACAGAGAGAGAGAGAGAGAGAGATGTAAACAAGCACCTAAAAATCTCAGTTGGTATATAATGGTAGAGATGGAGACTAGGGGTGTGAACTGTCTTCTGACAAATGTGAAAATACAGGTGGAATTAAGGATATATTTGTGTTTCAAAGGTGACCACCGGGCAAAATCAATGTGATTACATGAGAAAAGGGAATCACAAGTATACCTTATGAAGAAGATGCTGAGCCAGTTCCTAAGGCATAGATTGACAACTTCACCCCCTTGATGAAACCCAGGATCTCTCCTTTGCAGTCACTAGGGGTCTCTGAGGGCATTGCCTGGTAGCTTGATTGGTTGGTTGATTGATTGATTGATTGTAGTTGCTCCAATGAATGTAGCATATTGCCTGAGCATTGAATCCTCAGCTTTTCCTCCCTCTTCCCTGCTGTCTTTTAAAAAACATATTTAGTTGATCAGGATGATAGTTTCTGGGGTTTTTTTTCCCCGCTAGTCTCATTTGACTTCTCTTTTGTAGTTATTTGGTGTGATGGTAGCAGTGCCAACATTCATAACGGCTGGCTCCTACTTCTGTTTTTCTTGTGTTCTCTAGCATGGACATGGAAAAGAACTGTGCCAGAAATAAATCTGATGACATTAACTGAAATCCTGTATGCACAGCTATGCAGTATAAAGATTATGGTGTCATCAACCTTCTTTTTTTGGTCCTTTCATTCTTTCTTTCTTTTTGAAAATGAAGCATTTCTGATTCCTCTCCCCTGCAAAGGCTCCCAGGGTTTCCCTGCATTTTGGGGAGTCCAGTGGGGACCAGATGGGGGTGAAGTGTTTAATTTCCAAAACTCATCATCATCAGTAAAGTCATCACAGCTGCACCGATTTTCAGAAATTAGACTTCCCCCAGTTCCTCCATGATGAAAGAGAGTCTACTGAAGCCTTGAGACCTTTGGTGGGGGTGGGAGAATGTAATGAAACTCTTTTCTTTCTGAATAAACACTATGGCTGATGACATTGTTAGCCTTACACAGTGTATCAGTGAGAACAGGATTTCAGCCACTGTCTATTGTCCTGCTCCTAAGTCATAGTGATTTATGTTGCTCCCATTTGTGGGAGTATGTTTTTCCCTTGAAAATTGAGAAGCACACAGATGATACTGACACAGATCCAGATAACAAACAGGCTGGAATGTCTGCTAAATGGCAAACAGTGCGTGAGGCATTGCAATCTGTGCACTCTTGTTTGATCACAGATCACTTCAGGGGGCAGTGCATGTTCCTAACACAGACAGGAAATGTAGTTGTGCTAGGAACAAGTGAGTGAGAGCAAGGCTGTGGGAAGGAAATAGCAAGATTTCAGACAACCACAGATGCACTAATTCAACACCTAATCATGTTGTTCAGTGGTTATTTGCACTGTTGGTTGGCTTGGATTCCTAAATTGCTTTCTTTTTCTTTAAACAGCAACCACTGCAATCACAACAATAGAAAGTCTCTAGCTAGCCACTGTAGAATTCAAGAGACAGAGGAAATGCACAGCGTTATTATGGTCAAAAGTTTTGTGAGAAAGACTTATTTGGTTCTCTCTCTTCCCCTTTCTCATGTGTCTGATTCCCCCGCCCCGAGTAAAACTACAGTACATAGGATTGTACTTTTCATTCTGAAATCTTGGTGATTTTTTCTAACAAATAAAAATTTTTAAAAGATGGAAGAGGTGGCAGAACCCAAGAGGGGTTTAAGCCAGTGACAACATTTATCTACACGCCCATAAAACATAATTGCATAATAATAGCCTGCTGAGGAAACACCCAGAGTTAAATATCTAGGACAGTGGTTCCCAGCCTTGGACTGCAATTCCCAGAAGCCTTCACCACAAGCTGTGCTGGCTGTCGTTTGTGGGAATTGTAGTACAGGAACCAATGGGTAACCCAAGATTGTGAACCACTGGTCTAGGGGAATCAACAGGGGCATATACAATTCTTTAGACTCTTTAGACCTTGCCTAAGTACAGTATAAGGAATGTCTTTGGCACCTAATCTGACATTGTGCTTCGCACTTGTCTGTCTATATTGCAGCCACTGGACTTTGAAACAAAAAAGGCCTACACTTTTAAAGTAGAAGCCTCAAACGTCCATCTTGATCATCGCTTCCATTCTGTGGGCCCATTCAAGGATACTGCCACAGTGAAAATCAATGTGTTGGATGTGGATGAACCTCCAGTTTTCAGCAAACCTTTTTACACCATGGAAGTTTATGAGGACACACCGATTGGGACTATTATAGGAGCTGTGACGGCCCAGGACTTGGATGTCGGGAGCAGTGCTGTTAGGTAAGGAAGTGCTCCGTGCCCTAACTCATCCAATGTTTTCAGTGAGATTGCACCAGGAAAAATATATTAATGCTGAAGGATGAACTCAAAGAAGACAGAAAAAGTCTTGTGATACTCAAAATTGGGGACCAGCACTTTGCTGGTGGTCCAGGGTGAAAAGGCCAAATCAGGTAACACCACAATATTTTAAATCTATTTGAATGTTCTGGGACTGACGGCAGTCTTCTGAATGAGAAAAATGAATATTACTTCCACCATTACCAATAGTGATATATAATGGAGTCGGCAACTACAAGAGGGCTGGGAGCCATACACATCCTTCCCTTTTACATCCCTAACATGTTATTTGAATTTTTAGTTTCTCTACTAATCCCCCATTACTTTAATTGAAAAGCCACATGGCACCCTCTGCTGTCCAATTTTTTTTTAAAGGTGGAGGGTATGGGGGAAAGGGGTTCTGGTGATTCTTCAAACCATTGGCCCCCATGCCCCCTGTAGAGCAAAAGGGGATTTATGAGCTAATTATAAAAATCTATATAAATAAGATCCTTCCTTCCTTCCTTCCTTGTTGTGTGGGATGTTAAGGGGCACAAATGCTTGCAGGCTACATGCTGCCCACCTTAATATATAAACTTAAGTGTCTGGGGTAAACAAAAGGGATGGACTAAGGACTAAGTAAAGCAAAGAGTGACTGGTAGCTGAATTTGGGCTATGTAGGCTTGACTGCCTTTTTGTAGGTTTGACTGCCTTTCTAGAGCAGAACTTATAACTTTTTTTCCAGCTTTCTAAAAGGTCAAGTGAAATCTCTCTCTAGCCAGAAGGGCTATGGAACTAATTGAGGAGGATCAAGACCATCCTGGGTTAGATGGAAATGAGGAGCAGAATGCCCCTGATGTTCATAAATTCTTGGGGCAGAATGTGGTAGAGTTTCTACCCTGAGATGTATGGAGCCTAGCTCTCAAGTTGGAGGAAAAAGTACCAACAGCTGAAAGCACAGGATTCTGGCTGAAAGCACATAATGCCCACCTTCAAGGAAAGATTCATCAAGGGTAGCAGCCTTCTTACAAACAAGGCTATCATAAGGAAGTTTCCTGGCAAAGTACCTACAGCTAAGGTTAAAGTGGGGCTTTGGAAGCTCAGCTTGATAAGCCACTTTGGTTGGCAAGAAGGTTGTTGGAATATAGTCCTTTTACATGCTCTCACCTTTTCACATCCTTTTCTGGACTCTTTTAATGTTTCTCTGAAAGACTCCATTGTGCCTGAACTTAGATTGCAATTGATCTTGACTTGGGGTTGCCCTTGCCTCACATGCATGTATTCTGACTGGACCATGCTGTTTGAAGTTTGTAGAATGTTTCATTTCACCTTTGAATTACCTTTGCTTGCCTTCTGAAATGATTCCTTTGGCTTCAACCTTGCACTTGTTTTGACCATATCATTAGAATGTTCTTGCTTAGATATCTGATTTTCATTTAACTCCCTCACCTGGCCTGAAGAAAGAAAGAAAGGAAATAGAGGAGTGTACAGAGAGTAAGGCTGAAGAAACTTCATCACTGACGGAAAGAAAAATCAGTGGGAAAGGAAAGGAAAAAGAGTACAACATAGGCAGAGAAAAATGAAAACAGAGGGAGAGTTCATGCTATTCAAACAAAGGTTAACCTAGTTTTTAGCAGAGGGTGTAGTAGACCACACATGCTTTGTATGCAAAATGCCCCAGATTCTGTCATCAGTGTGTGAAGACAGGGCTAGAAAAGAATCCTTCCTGAAACAATACAGAGCCATGGCCACTCGGATATGCCAAGTATCTGGCTCAACGTAAGATATCATCATGTCTTCCTAACTATTACCAACATTTCCTACATTGCATACCTTATGAGCATCAAAAATAATGTCCTCATAACACCTGCATGTTTTAAACTGTACTGCCTTCTGTCTCTGAAAAGCTCCCTAAAGCAATTCAAGCTCATTCCCAAATCTCCTTTTTATATCCTACCCACATCTATTTGCATTCTGAAATAAAGCCAACATTTTTGCACAATTTTCTTCTGATATATTTACATCCTCCACATTTCCTCCATCAGAAATGTTGGTGGTAAGACCAGATCCCTTTCTTATACTGTTTTTGAAAAAACCATTTATAATGATAGCAATAATAATACGAATACTGCTTGCATCATCTAGTTGAAGTGTAATTCAAATCAGGATTAGATGCTTGAACGTGCCCACTATAATGACTATGAAATCCACAAGAAAATATTTTGTAATAAATCTGGATTTCAAGGGATAATGCAATTTAAGGCTGGGTTATTGGCTTTCTCTGCCTTGGCTCATTGCCAATTTTTAACACTTAGATCATAAAAATAAACAATGAACTGCTTAAGATCCTGTGCCTTATCCAAAATTAAATAACAAGCTGTCCAACAGAAACTATCCACTTATATTTGATCAAAGAAAAACAATTCTTAGTTAATGCTTTTGTAAATTGGGTTACGGCACATTTCATTTAGTTTAGTAAAGTGTCCTACATTAAATTTGTAAAATAAGATATTTTAATGTCACATTGGCAGACATACCCTGAAAGTACCAGTTCTTCACAACACATTGGCTGATACTGGAAGCTGAGAAAAATTATCACCATTTTGTTCCTGAGAGAACCTGACCAACTGTCTTAGCCAGATACAATGCAATAAAGAGAGTTATCTGTGGCTGGAACTGCCACAGGGCATGGACTCATCTCCTTCTACAGTAATGCCTCGCTAGACAGTTATCCTGCATTACAGTTTTTTCGCTAGACATTGACTTTTTGCGATCTCTATGGCGATTCGCAAAACAGTGATTCCTATGGGGGAATTTCACTGGACAATGTTTGGTCCCTGCTTCGCAAACTGATTTTTGCTAGACGATGATTTTGACAGCTCCCTCCGCACTCACAAAACAGGTGTTTTCGGGACCTAAGCTTTGCAAGACAGCTATTTAAATAGCTGATTGGCGGTTCCCAAAGCGGCTTTCCTATGGCCGATCTTTGCTAGACGACTATAATTCTTCCCCATTGGAACACATTAAACAGGTTTCAATGCATTCCAATGGAGAAATGCTTTTCGCTAGACAATGATTTCGCTAAACAGCGATTTCAGTGGAATGGATTATCATCGTCTAGCGAGGCACTACTCTGTTACCATCTCTACACAAGAATTGGAGGTTGTTCATGATTTCATGTACCTTGGCTCAATGAACTCTGACTCTCTCTAGATGTCGAGCTGGATAAACACATTGGCAAAGCAGCTGCCTCTAGAATCACAAAGAGAATATGGTTTAACAAAAAGCTGATGGCATATACCAAGATCCAGGTCTATAGAGCCTGTGTCCTGAGTACACTCTTGTATTACAGTGCAGTGTCCTGAGTACACTCTTGTACTACAGTGCATTCTGGACCCTTTGTGCACAGCAGGAAAGGAAGCTGAACACGTTCCATATGTGTTTTCTCTGTCACATTTTTGGCATCACCTGGCAAAGTTCCAAATGATGTAGTCCTGGGACACTGGCAAAGTTCCAAATGATGTAGTCCTGGAACAAGCTAGAATTGTTAGCATTTATATATTACTGAAATAGCGTGGAAGGGATTGTTACTCTCGGATTGGCCTTCTCAGTGACACTAGATGCTGTTCCAAGACCTCTACAGTCTCTTGAGACTGAAGTATGCCTACATCAGTGCAAAAATAAGAATGAACCAGTACCTGACTGAGGGTTTTTTTCCTGAAGTCACATGTCAGGTTACGCCCAATGACTTTGTTAGAAACTTGCTAAAAGTATTTGTGCTTAATTTACTGGGGGAGATGGTGTTCCATGGAACAAGGGTGAAGCCAAACAATTTTACTACCTGTGACAGAGTAACAAATAGTGCAACCCATCTGCCCAAGTTAAGGGGCATTTTATCCAAAATCTGTCATTCATCCTTTGTTCAGAGGAAGCAGAAAATCCCTCAAGCACTTCTACAATAAATAGCCAACCACACAACTAACAATTAACTCTTTCATCAACTACACCAAACTCTTCTGCCTTAGATGGCTGCCTTATTTTGCCTAAGGAGAGCCCTGGCCCTCAAGGTTGTTACATTATTGTGCGCCCACACTTCCCTCCCACCATGATAAATCTTAATGTTGTAATCAAGAAAAGTAACTATTCCAAGTTTTTCCCTACCAACTGTGCCTGTGGGGGTGGTAGAAATGAGAGAAAGCCCTCTTTGTGGTATCTTAATATGTAGGGGTGCTGCTGATACAAAGATACTATGATTTTCCAAAAAATACAAGTTGTCAAGTCTCAGAAGAATTCCCAGTCTAATAAGCTGACAGTGCTTTATTTATCCAGTCACAAAACTAAAGAAAATAAAATTTATGCAGTTGTTAGTTACTACTGATATATTAGACTTGAGTAGGCCATGAGGTTTACTGTACTTACTAAAGAAAATAAAATTTATGCAGTTGTTACTGATAGATTAGACTTGGGTAGGCCATGAGGTTTACTTGCTTTAACTGAAACTAAAAGTCAATAAATAGAAATGAGCAAAAGCATTAATTAGTTACAAACAGATGAGTGGGATTAGAACTTTCTAACATGTTACAATGTAGAACCATTATGCTGTGCTAGCTTTTTTAAAAAAATGAGTTTGCCTTGTCAAGGTAAAAAAAACAGCTTATGTCAGTTCTATAATATTTTAAAGGGGGAACTTGCAAAACATCATGCAAGGGGAGGGAGAAAATAATAGGTCTTTAAGGAGACACAGGAAGACAATAAGCATTCTCGCCTGCGATATCCAATATAATGTGCTGTGCAGTATGGTTTCATTGCAAATTAATTCATTTTCTCTGTGATGTTTTCCAGGCACAGCTTTAGCCATCACAATGCCTATTACACAAATCTGTAATCTGCAAAACAATGAAGAGGGGAACAAAAGATAGATCTATGCTTTATGCAGCAGACAGCAGAACTCAAAGAACAAAGCA